CCGGGCTCTTTGGCTTTAAAAGTATTTCGACCGTATTGGATAATGCGCCGGCGGTCACGGTCAACCGTTGGGCGATCGGAGTGTGCGGTTTTTGGGGCCGGCCTTTTCTAACCCGTCCTTCCTCGGGGGAAAGCAGCATCGCTGCTTCCATAATATGGACATGCTGGTCGCCTGGGGGAAACACCTTACTGCCTTCACACTCCTGTCGCAGAGGACAGTACGACTTTACCCCCAGACCGCCCCGTACCACGATTTCTCGTAGTACGGGGTCTCGCTGTTCTTGGTCTGGCTGCTCCCCTTTGGCCTTCCTGGCATGGTTGTGCCTTGTGGAACGAAGTTCCAGCCAGTGTAGCCCGCGGGACCATTGCGGCACTCAAGCACGACCACCACGTCAAGGTGGCAGCTTTAGGTCGGGGCACCCTGGAATCACGGGTGGGTGATCGACTAGGACTCGAGATAACGAAGCGCGATTCTTCCAGTTGTGTGCTGATCATGAACTGTTTCTCACCAGTATATTCGGCATAACGTCAAGGTGGCAGCTTTAGGTCGGGGCACCCTGGAATCACATTCGGGTGATCGACTAGGACTCGAGATAACGAAGCGCGATTCTTCCAGTTGTGTGCTGATCATGAACTGTTTCTCACCAGTATAAACTTTCGGCATAAACGGGTAACCTGGCAGCCAGCAACTGGAAATAACCGTGGGCCCGGTTGGATCACCGATTGAGAGCTACAACTCAAGACTGCCGTTTCTTCGGGGGCACAACTTGATTCTGATCACGCTATGGTGCGTACACGCCTGACAGTTTGTTTCACCTCTGGCCCTCGCATTTCGGCAAGAAGTATGTCAATCTATCATCTTTGAAGAAATACATAACTCAGCATTATCGATCTCAGCTATCTCAGCTGTTATCTACGGCAAACTAATACTGTACTGGTAGCGAGCACGTAGACGAAGCATGGCAAAATGTGCCCTATATCAGCTGATACGATCGACTTGCTCTAGGAATGCAGTCGTCGTGAAGACGATGAGTGGAAAAGGCGGCTCATTAATCCATTTGCAGAAACGTCAACTTAAAAGATGGGCCGGACACTTCGAAGAACAGTTTAGCTGGCCCTTCGCAACAGCCCGTGGAGATAGTCCATTCAGGGAATGAAATACGGACCTTCATCGCACGTCTGTAGAAAAAACAAAGGACGAAACAGCTGTACTCCATCGTGATAAGGCGCTAAAACTGGGCGGTCTGTATCCGGCCCTCGTTAAGGAAGGCGGAGGATCTCTGCTGGCTCATCTGAGGAAGCTAACTGGTGCGATATAAAGTGAAGACTGTCCACAGAATGGGGCCTATTAGCATTCTTATTTTGAAAAAGGGTACGCGGACGCTGTGTGAAAACCATCATGGCGTCAGCCTGGTAGCTGTGGCATCGAAGGTGCTCTGTGGTCTTGTTCTTTAAATGTTGACTGGACACGGAGACACATTCGTGAAAACCAAGCTGGGTTCCGTCCCTGATTGGATGCGTTGTTCTATCACCTGACGCAGTGTTCCCAGTCAGTAACAGCGGATGCGTTCATCGTGGTTGATGATGCGAATGCCAAATTTGGATGACAGACCGGAAGAAGTACAATTTGCTGGTAGATTTGGAGATGATGCCTAGCGTACGGATAATGGAAAGGAACTAATTCATTGCTTTTGAACGTCTGTTTCTGGCCAACACTGTTCGCGAGCTCCTTTCGTCGCGCACGGGTATGCAATAAGTTTTCTCTTGAGTTCGCCATGTCCAGTGATGTAGAAGAAGACTGCCCTCTCTCACCTTTCCTCTCCAACTTTGTTATTGATGTGCTGCTCAAATTCCTCTGCTTTCCTCTCAAACCTCGGGCATCGAAATGCTCCCGAGACGTTCGCCCACTGACATTCAGGGTACGGACACTATTCCTTTTTGAAATAATTTTAGGTAACTCTTATTATTCTCTTGCATGGTATGGTATGTGCTTTACACCTGCTTCAAAACTAGGTGAGATCCAACCCGAACCTCACGCTTGCGGACGTGGTAGACAAATCTATTTACCTGGACAGTCGAGACGATATTGTTTCTCGAATTGGTAGTCAGGGCAGCGTTTACCAGCCTCGAACACCTATGGCGCCAACGTTTGGTCATTTTTATACATTACGTTATATAGTGCTTTGTGGATCAGAAACATGGTCTCTGCGTACAGATGGCACACAATAGCTGTCGATCCTTGACCATCAGTGTCTCCGAAACGCTCGTTGGAGTGGACAGTGTATGACCTGGTAATGAAGTATGAAAACACTAACCAGTAAACTGTGGGGTCGATAACTACCGCCTCCCTTGATAGGGATCCTTGGACTCAACTCACCAATGGTTAACGACTGGCAGAAATGGTCCTTTCGCGCAGTCAATGGCTCTTATGCATCAAAGCTATCGCCTTTGACGTGTAGCTACCCCGTTACTGAAACTAAACAAACGTGCCGTCGCTTCCAAGGCTTGACTGTATGTCCCACCTCCCACTTTCCGGTGATCAAAGCTGTAGTATCTGTGGCCAATGTGCATATGGTACATGTTTTATAGCCGATAAATTGATTGGTTGATTGCTACTGAATTATTGCAGTTCCATGGTCTTTTGAGTGGATATCGACTGCTTCTATACTCATGATAACTAAGGTTCGCACATCGTCTGCGGGTTCTGGTGTGCTAGGATATGTTGGTCTTGGAGATAGTCAAGAAATCTCAAACCGGAATAGTTTTCATGCATGTTTTGGATATCCTGGAATACTTTTCCGGTACAAATATCTGTCCTACTGAGACCGTGCTTGTTGCTTCTGCTTATTGTGTTACGGGACAGCTGTCTATTGAGTAGACGGTGAACGCTGCCTACCCACACCTAGGTGCCACAACCTGAGCGTCGCATCTAAGACGGCTTGACAAATGCCCTATGTACTGGTAAAGTTATCTAGAGGCTGTGGTTGCGGATGGTCTGAATCCAGTCCTCTTACCATTCTGTTCCGTTCCACCCTACATGTTCAATACTTCTCACGTCTTATCGACTCATGTAGGTAGTAACTCGGATTCTCCCGCAGGCCTCCTAGTTCCTCTATGAGCAACGTGTCCCTTGGTATGCAACATGTCTTCCTGTCGATCACCATTAACTGGGGCTTTTATTTGAATGACTTACCCTCTTTTGTAAATCAAAGCGTCAAATCAGGAGACTTTTAACTTACTTGTAATTTGCATAAAACCATTGACGTAGACTCACCATAATTGTGACGTTTCTTCTTTTTATGTACTGTATTGCAGGATTGCCTCACCATCCGCAGTGCAGTCTTAAACGATGACCATCGCGATATTGCTGAAGTTCATTACCAGCTTGGTACCACCCATGCAATTGCAGGGGCATTGGATGTTGCGAGCACTTGTTTCCGAAATGCAGTATCCTGTCTGCAACAACATGCGAATAATATCAGAACCAAGATAACTGAAATGGAAAAGCTTGATGACCAGGTGGTAGAACTAGAAGCTTTACGCAATTCCTTGAAGGAAGTTGAGTCTCTCGTATGTGATGTTCAGCGTCGGCATGCAGAAGTCAACGAAGACCTTGCGGCCACTCAGCCAGGTATCACGTCGAGCAGTTCGACATCAGCTGCTAAAAGCACGGAGTCGGACACAAACGTTCAAGTGGTGGATGATATTTCACACCTAGTCAGGAAGAAGCGAGCTGTATCAGATGAGACAGCCGCAGAGCCAACCGTGTCGGAGATTACTCCGATACCCAACGAAACCCAGAAACTGAAGAAAGCGAGGATTACTACCGACAATCCTGATACCAACGGTGATGTGGAACATTTGAATGGAACTTCTCAAACCACGCTTACCAATGGTACACAGGTAACTTGCACCCAATTTCCTCCCACAACTCATTCCACTGTAGGATAATCCTATCGTCGAGATCGCGTAGGAAGCCCATTGAAGATTCTCAGGCCAAGATTGCATTTATTCGTTTATCTGTTTTTTGCTATATTTCCACAATAAATTTTGACACTGTTGAACACGTGTTTTGCTTCAATGTATTCACTTCCTGATGGTCCGGTGCCACTTTTATGCCAAGTGCGGTAGATTTAGCAGGAAATTATCTCCAGGAAAGGTTAGTTGCGGACGGTGCAGCACCTTTGGTTTGCCAACAGTCTGAAGTGCACCGTACTGAGACTACTAGCTTGCTTGTCAATCGGAATTGCCGTAAGTGTGGTTTGTACTCGAGGATGGCGATCTTGTCTCACCCGAAGATCTTGCTTTTCTGCTTTACTCCCCTAGAAAAAGGACAAACAAATCCCATTGTATTGGGGAGGGTAATCAGATAGATGGAGTATCGTACACGGCACTACCACCGACACTTAGCAGTTACGGTTGCTCTCACCAATGAATCTTAGAACGAAGGATTTTTACCCCACATCGAGGGCAGCCACTAAGATTTGGTGTACCGTTGAGTTCAGTCCTTCGACCTGTTTGCCTGAAAAGGTTCATCTAGTGGGATTATCCGGCAGCGAACCTTCCCATGTCAATGAGTCATCTCTAACTTCACTACAGTTTTTACCACCTATAGTCCATTGTATAAATGAATGCCACGTATTCTTCCTGTTCGAACCCCAAATCAAAACCGAAGCAGATTCAGGCTTACTCCATGTTTTCTCCATCTCTACGGGATTAGAATAGTAGATCTAACTAAACCATGAACGGCTTTCTCGCGTTCACTCATCTTTTCTCTTGCTAGGCCCATTTGCTAGCCTAATTGGATCAATAACGAAGCCAGATTGTTTCAGTTGAGACAGCAGAGAGCGGGACGGACTCTAGTCGTAATTTTTGGATTGTCGGTCCCCATCCGATTTAAGGCGACCTATGCTTATCCGTCGATATTTCCTCATCCATTCCATCTTTGGCGAACGAAACTAACGGCTTCAATCAGCATACTTGACAGTCTGAGCTGAAGTAACTGGTGCACATAGCAGACATTTTCATTCTAACGTCTTTCCCCCACACGAGTCTTACACTACATCCCGCCGTGCACTGCCGGTCCCCTTTCGGGTATACGTTGTGCGAAGAGTAAAGCTAATACAACTTTAGCAGTGCATGTTGTAATTGACTTGTTATACAGTAATAGTCCAGGGAGCTGCTCCAACAAGAGAATGCACAACAACGTACTTGTCACGCGCAGTGTTATTCGTTCGTGGGGAGAGGTTTTTGAGGTGGGCTCAACACTTTCCACCACAGTAGTCCCTTCTGGAATGTTATTTTACTCGAAAATTACGGCTGAGGCTATCCATAGTTTCGTCGACGGTCTCGAGTTTATGAATACTACGGTGGCATTCACTGGAAAGGTCCAGGACCCACAAATTAGATTAAGTAAATGTTGGCTTTACATGAAGCCAGACGTTGAAACTTATTGAACAAAGATATGATTCAATCGCATTCCAGCAAAGCGTTCGCATATTTTCTCCACCCGACTTTTTGGACGTGCATTACACCTGAAAACTGAACCGCTTCTATCGGCCAGTTTTTATTTTGATGCGATCGTAGAAAAGCCCCACCTACGCGTGCACTAAAGCCTCTGTTGCCATGATTTATGGTCTTGAAAGTTTGAGGATTATGACGATCGGAGAAATTTAAACGATGAATGTGGAGGTTGAGCTCGATCTTCCATTCATTAAGTTTGCACCTTGACAGCTATCTTGAGGGGTAGATTTGTATCGGTCTATTCTTGGGAACAGTCCGAAGTAAAATAGTTGCTTCCTGTAACTGAAGTTTGAGATCTGACAAAATTAATGATGGAGCATAACGGAGCTGGGTGACTGAACGATTATGTTAGTGGGACGGAACAGGCAAGTTCATTCGTAGTAGCGATAAAATGGCTTACAGTTCATCAGTCATGGAATGGGAGTCAGCTCGACGTACAATTTTCCTCGGATACTGTTTGGGGTGAAAATGTTTCGAAGCGCATTCCCAATTATGACAGTAGTATTCCACAGTGGAACGCAACGAAAACCTATACATTACAACTTGGGAGGAGGAATACTTACTGTAGTAACGGTATTTTTCTTAGTTCTCAGCCTGAACCTCTCAAGCTAGCGCTCACGTCAAAACAACCACCAAAGGTGCACAAGGTGTATTAACGCCTAAAACGAAGTCACGAACACTTGTACAACACTTCATTTATATAGCGTAGGCGGCAATAACTTTCTGGAAATTCTGACGCGTTCTGGATGCGCCATTGGCGACCGGCATTCGACCAATACTGGGTCATAATTGGCTGTTGGGTCCCAGACTCGACCACTCAGATCTCGGCTTGATACCGGAACGGCAATCGTTCCGAATTCTTGACCAATCTTACGTGGGATGGGCTTCTCGGTCGTAGCAGCAACTGAGTGCGAACGGTAGGGAGGGATCCGTGTGAAGTTCCGCCTAACACTCACAATGATCGAAAGAGGGGGAGTCGTCCGAAGGCCCGTTTCCTAGTCAATCTCACATGCACGGACTAACAGGCTGTTCGAAAGACGATAAACCAAAGTACAGGCAGCCGGTTGATCGAGAAGTCAACTTAGAAGTAGTTTGGGGTGGGAGGTTGTGGACTAACGCAAGAGTGGGTGAGGAACTCGTGGATTTGGTGGGTTTGAATGTAACTGTTCGGAGAACCAAAAATAAGTCAATGCGAATTGTCGCCAGTAAGTTATCAGTAGGGCAAAGGCGCCTAGCCCAATGCTTGTATCCTTCTGGGAGTGGGTTGTTCTCCAGAGAACTGAAGAAACGCTTGTTCAAGGTTAATTTCAAGACTGGCCAGGTAGGAGGTCATAGGTTGTGCGGCAGTTCGGGTCAGATGATAAAGCCTTGCTCAGAAACAATAAGCGCATGAAAGCTCTTTCAAACAGACAAAATTCCACCAGAGGAGAAAGATGGAAAGGGTGAGGTTTGATTGGAGCGAGTTCCATAGTACAAAGGTGGGTCTAAATGGAAGGAATATTATCCATACCAGCAGGCCTGTAAGGCTTTGCGGATAATAGGCACTTAGTTGAACTAGTGGGTGGTAGAAGTTCGGATCTCCAGGATAGGCATGAGTTGGGCAGTGGTGGCAGCAGGCGGGGTAACATTTCGATGAACAGCAATCTTGTCAGTTGTCTCCGTGCAAAGAGATTTCCTCCACTGAACTCTACTGGGCATGCACCACAGTACGGCACCATAAATTGCTGCCATATTTGAAAACCAGGAGTATTTCAATTCATTTGGAATCTCCATCATTGACAGCAATACGAGCTTAACCGTCATACAACCACGACGACAAGCGAAAAAGAGGCGTGACGATTTGAACGCTTCTGAGAACCATAGCCACACTGGGAGGAGGGTGTCCGCACAACACTACTAGGCTGGAGATAATTCAGTGGTTAAGGCGTGGACTTACTGACTGGAAATGCCATGATCCGCTTGCTCTTGTCTAAGTTCGGGTAATCATCATTGTCAGCTGTAATAACGGCGCACTCGTACAGTGGTTGTAGCTGCCGAAGTTT